ATATTAGTAAAGTCCGGGCAGGTTTGAATTGCCATAAAATTGTCGCACAGTGTTAACTTACAAACGATTTTCAACAACAGAATTGCCGTGTAATTTACTGATTACTAGGGTAGAGCTTTAGGGTGGTAGGAACTAAGAACTTGTGGATAAGTTCTGTTCTGATAATGTTCTGATAATGAACTGTTCATACTTTAAGATCCGACAGTATATGCTGAAGACATATGTATATGGTCGAATATCAAAAAAATAAAAAAAAATTTTCGAAAGAGTCATAAAAAATACTTTAGACTCAGGGGTGTACGGGGAGCTTTTTTGCGGTACTGTATTTACATACATATGTATGGACAATATACATATCAAATAAGTATAAGATATCTGAAAAGTGGCTAAAGTGTATGAATAGACTGCGGATTTTTATACAGAAAACGGAGGCTTAAAATATGTACCGCTTAACTCTAAACAAAATGTATACAAAATTATACACTTTGCTTATAGTTATGGGGTACATATTTCTAGGCTCCGTATTTTTCATAAGACTCCGCAGTCTACGTATGTATAAGGCAAGATTTACTGAGGGACAAAAATTGTACTCTTAATGACAAAGCTACTTGATGAATAGCCAAAATGAGCTAACGATCAAGTAAATAGTGAATAGAGGGAATGGGACATTCTTTTAAGTTCTCGCTGATGAATTCAACTCACTAAAATCAAATTTTTGTTACACCAAAACAGATTTGACTTGATGAAAATGCATACATACATGCATATGAATCGTATGATAGCCGTATTTTAATGCTTTAATATTAAATGGTAACCCTTATCTGACCGCTACCGGGTTTAATGCATAATTACGGATTTTAGAGCCGACAGCTTACAAACAGAAGTATTTAAGGGAAATTACTTAATATGCTAAAAGCACAAATTTTTTATTTATTTTTTTATATATTTCTCTCAACACGAGATTTGGTTATAGTTACCAATTATATTTCCCAGTTATATTTAATTGATGTAACTAAATAAACTCTGCTCTCAGTGTAGTATCTAGATTTAGCAAAACATTATTGTCTTCATTAAACTTTAATCCTTTTATTTATTTAAAGCCCAAGTAACTTACAGCGTCTGCGAAAGAAAACAAAGCCAACTAAGGAAGATACTAAATTTATCCAAGTATAAAAATACTGTATCGATTTACGATGAGATACAATTTGTTTCGTACCATGCTAACACACTTATGTAAGAACATACAGAGCTGATAAAAATGGCAATGCACAAAGGAGCAGCAAAGCCTGAAAGAGCAGCAAAAGGATATAGCAACACAAATGATACAAAAGTATTGAATCCTTGCGTGCACACATTGTGCTGACACATGATATGGTAGATATTTTATAAATATTTCTACAATAAATTTGATGCAACTACATATATTTGTACGCATTCACATTATGTAAATGTTTATACTCGTCGATATAAGAGCATTCAAATAGTCTCTACCCACATTCATTTGCAGTGTCTGACTTTAATCGGTTGAATGGTTAAGAAACCATTGCAAATACCACATATACCCAGAAAAAAAGTCTCTCAACACATAATTTGGTTATAGTTACATTATCTAGTTATCGTTACCAAATCATGTGTTGAGAGAAATATTTTTAGCCGACTCGTTTCTGGGTAAATGTACATATGTACATGTGACTTGGTGAATGAACCGAGTGAAGATTTTGTCGCACAGTGACAGACTTTTCAAATCTAGTTTACATAAAACTCTAAAAATGGGTTAAGTAATTTAAATGACTGCTAAGATTCGCATTTAGATGACTAATAGTTCATTTCAGCCAAGCCTTAACTGCACTTAACGTCTATTACAAAAAGGAGATTACAGCTCGAGGAGGGTAATTCCCCACCTACTAAGTAGAAGCAAACGAAAGGAAAAAAGCAAAAATTAAGAAATAAACCTTGCCGTTACCCTTATGTATGTTAATATTCTTGGAATTTAACTGAGCTCTTAACTGCGGTTGAGTCTCGTGACTAATATTTTAATTTTTTTTTTCATAAAGTGATGTGGGGAGTTGTAACTTGACGAAATCTATCATACTTATAAATTTTTATTACTTATGTCTTGTTGCATTTCAACGATGATGTTTGTTACGTCTTTTTGCATTTCAAGTGACGATATGTGCAATCGCTCTTTAGCAAAAAATTGGGTGGCGATCAAAAGCCATTTTTGGTATATTATTTGTTCGCTATTTTTGCTTAAAACTAATCGTAAAATTTGAATTTGCTACACGTTTTCTTCGAAACTCCGCCCTAATGTAAGTATATGTTTAAAAACAATTGAATCTTAATTGAGTGCAAAAAAAAATAAATAAAGTTTCGTAGTCATGTGCATTTGAAATAATTAAAACAAAAATGGTATACCTTGTCGGATTTGCGAAAGCAGTTGCAGTTGCGCTGGAAATATGGCTGCACAGACTATTTAAATAAATAATTCATAATTACTTAATTACGTTAAACATACTATATCACTTAACGTGGCGGTAGAGCAGTTTACTTTTCACCTGGAAGGGCACTTTCCTTCCGTTTTCGTTTAGTGCCTTAGAAGAGGTTAGGCATGCCGCGCGCTACCTGGAAGCTCAATGTACAGGCTTTCTTCTCAGAAGTAAGGATGGCGCTAAAGACACCCGACAAAGCATTAATTGTTGAGGAATAAAAAAAGGCCAAACTTGCTAATAGTTCGTCACCACTTAAATCAAATAAAAATATTTCGCCAGAATGGAGTTTGAAAATATCCTTATGCTGAACAAAGGAGAAATATCCTTAGGTATGGACCTTCTGACCCGCCACATCAGTATAGGCAGGCACTCGGAGAGACTCGGTGTGGTACCACTATCTACGAGCCTACACTTCGTACTTGCACACATGGGTTTGGTTAGCTAAGCTGGCTGGCCTTTTCGTGGCTTCGCAGGGTCATTAAGGTTCATAGCGATGCCAGAAAAATTACGGCCACATTAGACAGCTATTTAGTGAGCACCAGGAGCAATTTGGAAGAACATCACAATCCTCTTTGCCAACTGGATCACCTTAGACAGAAAGCTTGCTATTAGGAGACTAATCCGCAATCTGCTATGTGCAGGAAATCCTCGACACCTAATACTAGACACCTGCCTTTTGCGCCTTCCGGATGACGGACAGTTGGAGCTCTGCTTAATCGCTTTGAGGGAAATCGGCACTTCCTCTATCTGCATAGTTTCCGACAAAGCCCCTTCTTTGGCAAGCCTGTTGGTCTCCTCGCTGCCCGCGACACCGGCGTGCAACAGAGCAGTTCAGATGCACGTCAGTACCAGTATGTAGGTAGCAAATTGAGAGCTTATGGGATTTGCTGATACCGAGCACCGAGCAGACGACTGCTGCCCCTCCGCCTTTCTCTTTCTTGGTCTTGTCGTTGTAGACATTCAACGAGCCAGCACTCCTTATTGTCTCACGCCAGCCTTCGACCTCAATAGCGGACTTGAATACATATTTAGGGCATATCGTAGAATCTACGCACTCATGCATTAAAAATAGACTTTGCAATCTCTACCGTTCCGTAAACAAATGTTCAAAAAATCTTCGCAGTCTTTGAAATACTCGACATCTGAAAAATTCAAATCATTCGAATTACATTTTTGTAAAAAAGAATTTTTATTGGCACATTACAAAATTTTTCAGTAATTTATCTGGTTGTGATAAAATCTATTTTTGAAAATTTTTGCAAACCATGAGTCGTTGTATGCGACCTGGACCAATTACCAGTAATGGTTACCTAAATTATCTGCGCGAGTTTCGTAAGAAATGCTGCGGCTTGTCAGCGGTGGAAACAGTGCGTCAAGGTGCTAAGCAATGGAATCGACTGTCCTGTAAACAGAAAGCTAAATATCGGGCAATGGTAAGTAAATACCATTCTTAGTTGATCATTACTAAATATGCATTGTAAATAGGCCTGTAAAAGACCACGGCGAAACAGGATGCGTCGCTCATGTCGACCAAAGCGGAGAAGGCGCCGTGGCTGTCGGCCAAAGAAGCGTAGACGCTCGTGTCGACCAAAGCGGAGAAGGCGCCGAGGCTGTCGGCCAAAGAAGCGTAGACGCTCTGGCTGTCGCAAGAAGCGACGTCCAAGACGTCGCAGTCGTAGCTGTCGTCGCCGCTCCCGTCCTCGCCGCATGCGCCGAAGCTGCCGTAGCAGACGTAAGCGCTGCATGAAGCCCGGCCCTGTGACGGCAAATGCTTTTTTGAATTTCCTACGCGCCTACCGACGTAAACACTGTGGCCTCTCGCCGCAGGAGACGGTAAAGAAGGGTGCGCGCAGATGGTGCTCAATGGCGCCCGAGTGCAAGCGACGCTACATGCGGCAGGTGCGTATGAGGCACTCGGTGGACTCAAATATGAAGTTTAAATTTCTTTTTAATTTCAAAATATAATTTTTCAATTCTTTGACAGGCCTGTAAAATGTCGAAGAGCAAACGTAAAAAGAGGAGTCCCCTTTGTCGGTCGTTCCGTAAAAAGAGGCGATGTTGAAAAGTGATCAAGTTGAGTTCTTAAATAATGTATGTCCAACAAATTTTTATGTGAAATGTTTATTTTTTTTTCTAAATAAAAATGTGCAAAACGAAAGTGCGTATAAAATGCATTGCGATTCTCTGCTGGGAAACAAATACCATTTTCTTGGCGGAAGCACTGTGCTGCTGCGACATTTTTTTTTTTGTATTTGGAAATCAGTGCCTTCGATTAGGCTGAAATTTTTTTTAAAGAAAATCGAAAACTTTAAAAGCTTTTGGCGGGTATTGTAATTTGCGAAGCGAATTTAATTCATGTTTAGAAAGCTGGTTATAAGATTTTTTTGAATTAACTTATTCTAATATTTCATTTTATTAATAAAATAAAGAAACTAAAAATTTTAGCTCCAATTTAATATTAATTCAAACTTTGAGTCTTAAAGGTATTTCAATACTTCCACATACTTAGGTACGCTGGAAGCCATTTCTTCAGAGTATTACAAATTGTAGAGAAATTTTAAGGAATTCGTAAAGATCTCATCCGATTTTTTGCCGAATTTTCTAAAATGATATAAACTGTGCACACTTCGATTTTTTTTACGAAATTTCGGAAGAAAATCGGTAAAGCAATGAAAATAATGCTGCTATGTGAAGAATTTCTTGCAGAATTTTTTCAGCATTTTCTTTATTTTTCGTTCAGAAATTTCTTTACGAGTTCGTGTCAACCACTTCCTATATATTTTTTTTTTTTAATTCGTAAAAAATCGTTACAGAAATGAGATACTCCTACAGATTTCGTTAGGATTTCGGGAGCTTTGGTTTGCCAGGTACATACGCATATATCTTTCAACAACCTAGCAAACATAGTTTATTGCTTCACCTCACGCGCGCTTGTAGAAAACGAAAACCGGCAGGCAGCCATGAAAGTGATGCTGCCATTAATCGAAATTGTGAGAGTAACAGATGCCAGTGCCTAATAGCATGCAATTTCGCTTAATGTGAAACATGCGTTGGTGCCTACTGTACATATGTAGATATGGGAATAATAAAAAGGT